GGGGCCCGGCCTGGAGGAGCGGCTCTTCCAGCAGGTGCGGGACCATTTCAGCTTTGAGACCTGTGGCAACGAGACCTTCCCGCAGCGGTACCTTGTCTCAGGTAGGTCCTGGGAAGTGTGCTGCGGCCGAGCTGCTCCCAGTCCTGGCATGGCCTCGGCAAGGCCTTGCTGTGGCTCAGGGCTGAATTTCTGTCTGTTTAAGCTTTAACTGCACCTGCGCTGAGGCTGAGAGCCTCTCTGTTTGGTGCTCAGACAGCTGTGCTGAGCAGCCAGGCGTCAGTCTGAGCTGAGTGCCAAGCCCTTCATGAGCCAGTCTCATGTAATTGTCTCTATTGTCTCCCCCAGCATTGTCTCTATCCTCCTCTCCTTCTCTTCAATTTGTCATTCTGGCCATGAGGTGTGGGATTGGCCTCTCTGGAGCAAGAGCAGACTAGAAGCAGCAGCTGCATTAGGCTTGCACCAGGGCTGGCTCTGTGCATGTGTGTCTTCAGCTGGCCATAGAATAGAATAGAATAGACTATTTCAGTTGGAAGGGACCTACAACGATCATCAGGTTCAACTTCCTGACCAATTCAGGGCTGACCAAAAGTTAAAGCATGTTAAGGGCATTGTCCAAATGCCTCTTAAACACTGACAACCTTGGGGCATTGACCACCTCTCTCTTAAGCCTGTTCCAGTGCTTGACCGTCCTCTTGGTAAAGAAATGCTTCCTAATGTCCAGTCTAAACCTCCCCTGATGCAGCTTTGAACCATTTGCACGCATCCTATCACTGGATCCCAAGAAGAAGAAGTCAGCACATCCCCTTCACATCCCTCTTCACATCCCCTCCTCGGGAAGCTGTAGAGAGCAATGAGGTCACCATTCAGCCTCCTTTCTTCCAAACTAGACAAACCCAAGATCCTCAGTCACTCGTCAAAGGACATGCCTTCCAGGCCTTTCACCAGCTTTGTTGCCGTCCTCTGGATGCATTCAAGGACTTTAACATCCTTTTTAAATGGTGGGGCCCAGAACTGCACACAGCGTTTGAGGTGAGGCCACACCAACGCTGAATACAGCAGGATAATCCCCTCTTTGACTGGCTGTGTTTAATGCACCCCAGAATGCAGTTCGCCCTCTTGGCTGCCAGGGCACACTGCTGACTCCTGTTGAGCCTGCTGTCAGCCAGCATCCACAGATCCCTTTCTGCAGGGCGGCTCTCCAGCTGCTCCCCTCCCAGTTTATACTTGTGCCTGGCATACTTGTGCACAGCATCTCTTACAAGTGCAGCTTGGTGTTCTGAATGTAGCAGTAAAAGCAAATAGTGACCCAAATGTTGCACTCTGTACCCATCGTTCTTATGAGTGAAGATAACTCCTCTTGGGTCAGTGTTTTGTGTTACTTAAAACCCTGCAACTTTAGATAGCTTAGGCCATGCTGAACAATGAGGGCGTCCAGCAAGGAGCCAGCAGTGTCTTCCTTTCTAGCCAAATAATGAGTTATCTGCTGTGCAACAGACAGTAAGAGAGAGGAGGCTGTTCTAAACAGCGTGTGACTAAAAGGCAGCAATTACAATAACCAGTGTCACATTTTTCAGTCCTGCCTGCTTGGAGGAGTCAGGGAGAGATTTGCAGGGAGAGAACAAAGGTGGAACTGTGAATAGCACCAGGCCAGAGTGCTGCCCAGCCTGGTGCCTGCCTGCTGCTGCCTCACAGACTGCCTGCATCTGGGGCATTGTATGCAGCATCTCACCTTCTTCACGTCACCTGTTACTCTGCAGCTTGCTCAGTACCTGCACCCAGTCATATATGTTTCACCAAGCATGAATTCATGGATCAGTTCAGCCCAAAGATACAGGAACACCAGTGAATTTTGATAGCACACTCAAGGCTGAAATTTCACTACTTAAGTGGCCCTTTTTGAACTTTGGGATCACCTGGATTAAAGCATTGCATAACTTCTATTTGTTTTCTTTTTGAAGTGTTATGCTTTCTCTATGTGTCCGGGGCAGAGCTGAATAATATTTGTGAGAAACAAAACATTAACATTGCAGTTCTGCTGGTTGACAAATATAGTTTGTTACTCAAAATTCCTGTGAGTAGTTCGTTTCCCCTCTACGGCTTCTTGTGCAATATGAAACTTTTCAGCAAGAACTTGAAGGCGACTATTATTTCACAACCAGCCATCTGACTGTCTTGAAGTTAACTGGCAGTTCCCCAGGATTTCAACCTAAAAATAGATACCTTTTTAAGTAACCTGTCTGGTTTGGTTTTGGCTCTTGTGAATGGTTGTTTACTCCAGGAGCCACGAAGCATATAATCAGAAAAGCCAGAGTAAAGATAGTACTTCAGTTTCCTACTTGATACCCAAAGCAAATGCAACACAGAAAGAGAATCAGCCTCTTTGTTAACAAAGAGCAGCAGTTTCACTAATGAAAGGTTTCAAACCCTTTTCCAAGCCAAATCCTGCTTTGGCAAGTCTGTGTTGAGAATGCCAAGAATTAAATTCAGGCCTCTGTTAATAGAAACAGCCTCGTGTGACATGCTGCAGTGTCATCTGTAGGACCGCCGCTGTTGGAGGGTCCCTTCGGGTGATGTGGCAGTGTGTCGAAATCAATGCTTAACTGATGGCCTGAGGTTTGCTGTTGAAGAAAGCTAGCTATTATCCCCTTTAATTCCCATGCAATTTAAGACTAAGCTAAAATCAAATGTTTGTTAAAGTCAGCAAGCATTAAAGCAACTGTTTTTTAGATAAGCAAGTATGGACATCATGGGTCACTTTGTCCTGCCAGTCTCAATTTGCCTTCAGTTATAAACAGATCAGAGGATGAAGCACCTCATGTTCATATATCATCTCATATATATGATATATCATATGGAATATATATATACACGTGTGTTACGTATATAACATATATCAGCATATCAGCAGCAGTGCCTCCTGGGCTGCATCAAAAGAAGTGTGGCCAGCAGGTCGAGGGAGGTGGTTCTGCCCCTCCACTCCGCTCTGGTGAGACCCCACCTGGAGCACTGTGTCCAGCTCTGGGGTCCCCTGTGCAAGAAAGGCACAGACCTGTCAAAGCAGGTCCAGAGGAGGGCCGTGTAAATGATCAGAGGGATGGAACACGTCTCCTGTGGAGAGAGGCTGAGAGAGTTGGGGTTGTTCAGCCTGGAGAAGAGAAGGCTCCAGGGAGACCTTATTGCGGCTTTTCAGTACTAAAGGGTGCTTATGAGAAAGATGGAGAGAGACTTTTTACCAGGGCCTGCAGTGACAGGACAAGGGGCAAGGATTTTAAACTGAAAGAGGGTGGATTTGGATTGGACATAAGGAGGAAATTTTTTATTATGAGGATCGTGAGATACTGGCCCAGGTTGCCCGGAGAAGTTCTGGATGCCCCATCCCTGGGAGTGTTTGAAGTCAGGCTAGACAGGGCTTTGAGCAACCTGATCTAGTGAAAGCTGTCCCTGCCTACAGAAGGGGGGTTAAACTGGATGATCTTTGAAGGTTCCTTCCAACCCAAACTGTTCTATGATATGTGATTTACAGCTTGGCTCTATGTTATACATCACAGCAGGAGTGGCAGAAAGATGCAGGCTATTCCCAAATGTCCATTTTGTGGGAAAACTGATCTGTGCAAGTGTTTTGGGATGAGTTGGGCTGAAAAGAGTATATAAATGGGAAATCACTCTTTTGGGGGGCAGCTGTTTCCAAATGCCAAATGCTTCCAAATGCAGAACTGAGATTTTAGGGATTTTCAAGCAGAAGTAGAAGTTCCCGGCCATGTGCTGATCTCATGGAAGCTCTTACTTACCCCTGCTCAAATGAGAGCTTTCTGTAGCCTGGCCTTTCTAACATCTTTATTCCCCAGCTTGGGTCTCGGGGATCAGCCTGTTCACAGAGTTCTTCCTTGTTAAGCTCCTGCCCAAACTCACCAAAGTAGAGTCAGTTCACGCTCATGTTTTTTGCTTTGTTTTGTTTTTTTTTTTTAATTTGCTTCTGTCAATTATCTCACTCAGCAAAGTTCTGGAAGAAAGGATTTGGACCCATCTTTTTCTATACTGGCAATGAAGGCGACATCTGGACTTTTGCTCAGAACTCTGACTTCATATTTGAATTAGCAGAGGAACAGCAAGCACTTGTGATTTTTGCTGAGCATGTGAGTATTTTAGTGATTATGCATACTACAGAGTTTTGTTCTGTTCAGTATTGCTGAATTCAGCTTTCTGCAGGTCCAGAAAAATAGTAACATCTCTTGCCATGAAGCTGAGGCATACCTGCTGTAAGCTTTCTCCTCAGGGTAGCAGCTCTTCTTTACTTAACCATGGCTTCTGAATTTTTTTTACTATGCCTACCAGCAATCCAGGATACAGACTACTGTTTCATTAAGACCTATGCCATCATGTATTTGCTTTAGACCAGTGCTTTTGTAAGTAGTTTCCACAGGCCTTGTACTCCACACTGGACTAGAGAGTTATTTTGTTTGGATAGTATTTAATCTCTCTAGCCTGCGAAGTCCTGAGCCAACCGTTCCCACACCACTCTATTGAACTATTCCACAACTTATGCATGAAGAGTTTACCCTGTTCCTTTTTGTAGTTGGGGATTTCAGGAGATGCATGCCAAGGGCCCACTTGGCACCCACTGAAGTAGTTTGTCATGGACTGTCCATCCTCTACAGGATACATCCTGAAGGTCTCTATTTGTCAGATGCAGGAGACAAGGCACTTCCTCAGTTAAGAACAAGTTAGAGGACACCACTTGCTCTGTTATCGCTTCCCGTTTGTGCATGCTTATCCCAGTTCTATAGTGAGAACAGAGAAGACCTTGACACCAGTGTTTCCTCAGCGTATCTCTTTCCTTTCAGAGGTACTACGGGAAGTCTCTTCCATTTGGACTTGAGTCAACACAGCTGAAGAAGACTGGTCTGCTTACTGTGGAACAAGCCCTCGCTGATTATGCAGTGCTAATTACTGAGCTTAAGCAGCAGTACAGTGCTGCAGACTGCCCTGTCATTGCTTTTGGAGGCAGGTAAAGGTTGTATGTGCTTGTTCCCTTCTCTGCATCCTTTCCCAGATACAGTTGTGCTGTTCTCATAGATCTGTTTGGCTCTCAAGCAAGTCCTAAAGGCAGAGCTTTAAGCTATCCAATAGAAAGCAGATGCGCTTGTGCTTGAGCTCCCAAGAGCTCATCACCAGGTCCCAATCAGCTCTCCCATCAAGAATTAGTCTTGATTTGCGATTGCTTTGGAGAAGCACCACTGGCTGGATGTTTCTCGGTATGTACAAGTCAGCCAGAACTGCAGAAAATGGGAAATTCCTCCTGCAGGATAAGAATGTTTTACATTGGAAATACAGAAAACTAATACTTGGTAAAATATTCTTTCCAGGGGCCACCCAGCTTTTTATTAAACACAGCCTCTTTAACAACATCTAGCTATTTTCATTGTAGGCTGCTTTATAATTCTGCTCTGCAACCTGCTGCTTGGTTGCTCCTCGAATCCTAGCAGAAGTCCTTCCCCAAAGTGCTCGCTCTGTTGCAGCTGTGTTGATGTGATGTCCTTGTCTCTTGACTGGCTTCTCACGCTTGTAGTAGAAGGATGCTTCCCTTTAAAAGGGTTCCACCAAACAGGGCTTCTAATTCAGTTGCAGTGAGCTAAAAAGCATTTGACCTGACAGTTATCATTAAACTTCCAGCTCACTGTGGTGTTGGCTGGACTGTTGATAGCAGGTGTGTTTGTACTGTGACTATCAGGACAGTAGCTAGTGTAAAAAGGGCCAGGAGCTGTCCTGGGGTGGGGAGGTGGGAGAGGGATTCAGCAAGACCTGCTAGCTGGGCTGCATGTTAGACTACATCTCTGTGTGTGTAAATCAGAGTTCAGTCTGCAGCAGCCCTGAACAGCACTAAACCCATGTGAAGAGTACTGAAATACAGCAGTGTTGGAGCAGCACAGCATTCCCCATGGGAGAAGAAAGCGCCTCTTCTGTTGCTTATAACTTTGCCAAACTTTAACCTGAAATTACTTGTGGCAGATTTCAGCTGTTGCCTGTTTCCAAGACCAGGGTTAAAGAAATGCATATTGCTTTACATGTGGGTGATGTGGGAATGGTATTTACTTCAACCACTTGAGGTGGTGGGGAGGGAGACTTGAGTGCCTGTAAGCTTGGAGCTAGACCAGGTGTTACCTGTGTTTTGGGGATGTAATTTGCCACCCCCAGGAGTGACCTCAGAGTAACTCCACAAACATCGGCATATGAATAACTTTTGTCACCTTGGGTTTATCTAGCAATCCTGGATATATCTGCAGATTGTGGCCCTGGCACCGAAGCTACCAAGGTGGCTTTGAGTTCTATTGTGATATTTGTTAATATCTCCCCTTCCCTATATCCGTGCTGATCATGTATGCAGCTGTTATTTGGGGTGCCCAGGGAGAATACTTTCCAATTCTCAGCACTAGACAGGGCTGCAAATTCTGTGGTGTTCAGGGACACCCTTTGCTAAAAGTCTAGCTAGTTGCTAAGAGCCTAGCTAGTCTTTATAATCCTGCAAAATGTGTCTCCTTCTCCTACTGACCAGTGACAGCTTCAATTGAGCCCCACTTGGTTCTGCACTGAAGCTGTCAGGACACACTTAGGATGGTGCAGAGTTAAATATCGAGGCAGGATTTACATTTGGCTGCAGAAGCGAACTGGGCTGCTGTGTTCCCACCAGAGCTGGTGTGAGTGTTTGCGGAAAGGCCAGTAAGAACACATTGTGTGCTGCTCATTGACCATAACTGGATCTTTTTACATGAGGATGGCATCTACTAGATATCCATAACTTTCTTGTCGCCTTGGGTTAGGTAAGCCTGTGAATGCTGGCCTGAACTTTTGAGTTTTTGTTATAAGCTGTCTGTTAAAGCAAGTAACTCTTTCGTCTCTCTTGTGGCAGCTATGGAGGAATGCTGAGTGCTTACATGAGGATGAAATACCCAAACATTGTGGCCGGAGCATTAGCTGCCAGTGCTCCTCTGTTGTCTGTTGCGGGGCTTGGAGACCCCACCCAGTTCTTCAGAGATGTAACAGCAGTAAGTAGCATCTCTTTTCAGGAGCATTATTTGCTTCCTTTAAGAAGGCTGGATTTTTTTCCTTTTTCATGTGTTTATTTTCACAGCATCAGTGCTGGGCAGGGAATGCAATTAAATGGGAACCCACAATGAAAAGCAGTAGCTGCAGATGTGATGCCTGAGCACTGCCTTAGCTGTCACAGCTCAGGGCCCAAATGTGCTGCTCTGATGAGTAGCACAACTTGGTTCCAGCACCTTTAGTACCACTAAGGATTCACTTTCCCATTTCTAGTGACTTGACCATACTACAGCCTGAAAGTTTTCCTTTGTGCCTGGCTGAACCCCCTTTGGATAATTTATTCTTCAAATCCGCTCTCAAAGTGCTGTATTTTGCATTGATATAAATGATTCACAGCAGCTCCTTAGTCGCAAGATAGTTGTATTTCAATGAAGAGCTTGGAAATCTTCATTTCACTAACTAAAAATATGCAGGGTTGTCCTGGGTTCACTTAAAACCAAAATTTAAATGTGGCTTTCACATTTGGAGGACATAGGACCCAGAAGAAGGTGGTATTGCTGAGAACTAACTTACATTTAGTTTATAAGGAAATAAATACAAAATATTTATAAAGAAATGTACTACCTGGTAGTACTGATATGTTGTGATGGTGTCTGTTTTGCCTCTTTTTCGACTTGAATTTGTAGATCTGGGTTTTGCAGATGGTTTTGCATGAACTACCTGTGTATGAAACTTGTGGTCTTTTTGTTCTTATTTACATATATGAAAACCTTATTGCAATGTAGAGAATTACAGGACAGACAGAATTACCAATAAGTGTGAGGAAGAGACTATCATATGAAAATAAACATGATAGCATTTGAAACTCTTAAGTGTGTAAGAGTATAAAAGACATCTTGCCTTAAAATTATACATTTTTAAAACAAAAATGTAATTACCACTAACAGGCCCCACAGTGGGAATTCTTCCCTGATTGCAGCCAATTCCTTCTCAGAAGCCCTGTTCAGCTGATAGCTCTGTCTTGCTTCAGCTGTGAATATGCTGTGAGTCATTACACACCCCTGAAATTAGGCCTTTGAGCTTTTCATGTGAAAACACTTTCTAATTAATTTTAAAATGTATTCTCTCTGCAGCAATAAGCTGACCTCTGGGCTGAGATCCTAAGCAAGCCCTTTGTGTTGTTTTCAGAATAATTCCTTCCACCTTCAGTGTGTTTGCATAAAAGCAATCTGTGCATCTGAAATCTGAATTCAATTGCTCTTCTTGGTGAGAGAACACCTCTCAGAGCTGTTAATACCAATGAAGGCACAAACCTTTCATGAATCATTGTGGGAGCGATCTCTTCCCGTGAGTCAGAGTACATTGTCTCAAAGCAGCTTTGTCTATGATTTTTACTGAGCTGTTTCAGCTCACTTCATAAGCTTCCAGCTCACAGGGGAAGCAAGCAAAGGGCAGAAAGTTGATCTTGCATATGGCATTTCCGTAAGACTAGGTTATATATGCCAATTGCCCTGCCAGCAGCCAGGCAGAAAGCCCCTGTGTGAATATTACACATACATGCTTCCCTTAAGGTTACTGCTGCAGGGGTTGTTCAGGCCATCAACTTCAGATCAGCTTAGACATCTTAATTAGGTGTGATTCAAAAGACTAAAGCTGGCAGCCTGGAGTGGAGACAGCTTTCCTTGGAAAGGAAAGGCTGTAATGCCTCCTGCCTGTGCTTCTGCAGTGGCTCAGCTGAACTGTTCCCAGGTCCGTAAGGGTCTGCAGGGAAGAACTGGAATGGATGGTGGTTCCTTAGTGTGCTGGGCAGTGCACTGCAGCACTCCAGCATTGCCTAGTGGGGAGCTCAGCCATCACAGCAGCCAGAGCAGACCTGTTCCTCCATCACAGACGATCCAATCCCCACACTCCAATTAGAACCATTTGTAGATGAAGATCAATAAGCACATCCAGAAGGAGGTTTGGAACCCCTAAAGGGATGCCCGGGTAAACTGTGGAAAACTCCGTAGTGATTTCTCTAAGCCTAACTATCAGACAAAGGCAGAGTTAGGAATAAAAGAAAGGTCCCAAATCTATTTTTAGTTGAGGCTGGGTCTTTGTATGAAAAATGCTTCGCTAGTGATTTGGGGTTACTTAACCATTGCTCTAGCAGGGTAAAGGGACCTTAAAAAAGCCCTAATAATTCTTACTATTACGAAGTGCTGGTTGCCAGCAGATCTCAACCTGCCTTACAAGCTGACAGAAAAGAAACAGTTTTGCTAGAGCCTTCAGTGGCAGAAACAACTTGTTGCACCAGCATAACCAGCCACAGCTCTTCAAACATACCTTAAAGTGCTTTTTCAGGATCAGTAATGTTTTTCCCAAGAAAAAGGACATGGCCTTCTTGGTCATCTGGCAGGTCACTGGCAGGCTTAAGAAGAAAAGCAGGTCTTGGTTCCCAAACCAGTGCTCTACCCTCCATGCATAACTGACTTCTCCTTGGCTACTTCTCATGGACAAAGCGTGGTTGGAAGGACTATATTGTGTGTTTAAAAAAAAAAAACTTCTGGGCCTAGCAGCCTGCCACCCTCTTCCCATGTCCTAGCCAAGGCATGTGTCTCCTTTTGCTGCTTCGTGTTCAGTCTAATGGCTCCACTAAGTGCAAAGTGTTTTGTCTAACAGCTCGTCCCAGCGAGACCTAGTGAAACAGTTTCTGCTTGGTCTGTTGGCTTCTGTTGGGATGTGCTGATTGTCTGGTGGACAAGGCAGAAGCACCCATGTCGCTGCTCCTGGAGATACAGATGAGGTTCTGATCAGTGAGCCAATAACCCCTGTCATCTCCTGGTACTTCTTGTCAGTTCTTCCCAGTGCAGCCTCTACACGCATCTCCTCTGTGCAGCTGTAATCCCCTGTCTTTTCTGTCACTTCAGGATTTTCAGAAGTCCAACCCAGGCTGCGTCACAGCTGCCCGCAAAGCCTTCCAGCAGATTAAGGATCTGTGCTGGAGTGGAGGTAAGGAGACATAGCCCTGCAGATGGCTTCCCCAGGGCAGCCAGCAGGCAGTCCCAGCCCCGTGGAAAAAAGTTGATTCAGTTTTACTTCAGCTAGGTCTTCAATTTGTTCAGCTAAATCAATGCAAATGCCCACCTGGCTGCCTCTTTCTGCTTGCATGATTGATTTTTGATTTAATGAACAGTTTCAGTTAGCATTAAAATTAGTAACTGACACCAAAATGAAAGCATCTATGTAGGGGCTTGCACAGTGTTAATAAAACTGTCTTTTCTACACCAAAGTGCAAAAACACCTACACGTGCAAAACACCTACATTTTATGCTGGTAAAGCCTCATGTTTCACCACACTGTTGAGAACTGTTCAGGTGGGTATGACAACTGCGTGGCTCAGCTCACTGGACATAACTGAGAAATATTTGGAAGGCAATCTAGGTCTTGAAGCAGCCGTCACCGTCTCTTTCATCTCCAGCCTTGGACAGTTAGGTGAAGCCAAGGACAGAGACTGGTGAAGATCTCTACAATGTCTCCCAGGTAGGCCAGAGCAGATATCGTGGGCCAATGCAGCGTCTCCTGGGAGCGCTGCGTGGTGTTGGAACAGCTGTGGTGGGTTCTTGGTCTGTCTCAAGGCTTGGCTTGGTCTGTGGTGCTGCACATCAAGGACTGTGTGCCTCCCATGACTGCTGTTGCTGCCTTACTGCAGAAGCTGGTCCTGGAATTACCCAGAAGAGCTAGCAGTCCAAAACCGCATTTAGCTTTGGGTCACAGCAGCAAAAACATTACCGTTAAATAGCCAAGGTGCTCAAGGTCTGCCTGGGATCATGCTTTCTGCAGCAGGGTAGATAAGGTGGTCATATTTAAGGCTTAGACTCCCAAGTGTGTATCCAGACGCAGGTCCCAGGCCTTGGGTTTCCAAGTAAAGACAGCTGTCCTCCAGTGGGCAGCTTGTAGAGTACAGTGGGGACAGACAGGAACTATGACTCCAAAGCATGGAGGATGAAAATCAAGGGAGCAGCTTTCCCGAGCAGAAATGCAAAGGTATATGAGTGCATCTTGAAGGAATCTCTTCAAAGATGGATTTCCTAACTCCAGCTGACCTCTCTGCATCACACTGAAGTTTGAAGGCATGTCTCGGGAATTCTTTGTGACTTTGTGAGGACTATTCTTGCTTGGCAATTCTTACTGCAAATGCACCCAGCTCCCAAGGAACTCTTCCTCCCCGCCCCCCCCTTGCCAGTTCTTCCAGCTGTTAAATCCCACTGGGACCTGTACACTGTACCCTGCTCTCCTGCATGAGAACTTGCCTGGGAGACCACCCTGCCAGGGCACAGCAGACCCCAGGGAGGGAGCCTGCAGGGGTGAGGAGCAGGCACCCAGGCAGGGCACTGGCGAGGACAGGCTTGTACCAAGGTGTTCTTACTGTGCCAGCCAGGACTGCTTCTGTCTCAGTGGGTGCTGATTCCTCTGGGCTCCCCAGAGAGGTGTTGGTGGCTGTGCAAGGGGCAGAGTGCAGGCCGTGGACCATGCAGGATCGTGAAGCTGCACAGGAAGGCTGTGCCTGAACATCTACGTGTGTGTAAATTTAGACATAATGTGTCCTCCCCACTAGAAACCTCATCTGTGTGTTACGGCATCTCCTTACTCCTAAGTGAAACGAGATGCTGATGCCTGGTATTATTTTCCCCTGTTGAAGTTTGTGCCTTTCATTTTCCTTCCTTCTGCAGCCTACGATGAAATCAGCAGCAAAATGGCCACATGCAATAAGATCTCTAACAAGGAGGATGTTTACCAACTTTTTGGGTTTGCTAGGAATGCCTTCACCATGATGGCCATGATGGACTACCCTTACAAAACTGATTTCATGGGTCACCTCCCTGCCAATCCAGTGAAGGTGAGTACCAGGATGTGGGTGACAGTCACCATTTCTGATGTGCACCTCGGTGACCAGAGTGCAGGGGGCTGCGCCACCTGGGGCACTGTCAGGCACACACCATCAGTGATGGTGACGGGAAGGTAGTGGTGGATGTTGCAGCCCTTCCACTCTGACAGTAAATCTATACATTTTAAAATTCTCTGTGACTGACTGCTGTGTTTGAAATGCACTGCTGTAAGGCTTGTCGGGGAGGGTTTGCTGGAGCCACTCCTACCCTGCTCTGCCTTTACCTTACACACAAAGGCATGTGCAAGCTTGTTGACTTCAGCTTTTAAACACTAAAAACCTGTAGCTTTTAAAAAAATGTAGTTTTGTTGTAGCCCACTTCAACACACTTTCAGAGATGTATTCTTCTTGGTGGATAGGGATGGAGATCTAAAAATCAGGCTCCTTTCTAAGTATCGCCCAGGAAGATGACATACCTCAGAGTATAATGCAGAGAAAAGTCTGCTGTTGTGGGGACTGGAGAACCTGTAAATTTTCAAGAGAGCTGGGGATGGCAAAGTGTGGGAAAGGGGCCTGGTTCTCAGGGGGTTACAAAGACTTCTCAGACACCATCTGCTTTTGAAAGGTCCCAGCTTTGATCCCAGATCACCAATTGCTATTACAGTTCTTGGTTTCTTCTGGTGTGCTGTCAGCCTCGTGCTGCTGTTCTCTGCTGCACTCCAGCACACCACGCCGACGGGACTTCATTTGCCTCTGGCCTTGTGGCATTTATGGTTCAAGTCTTACCTGGAGCCACATGCGTACTGTGCAAGAGGTCATACAGGCTACGCTGTACTGGGACTCAGGAGATGCTGTCTCTGGCTCCACTGGGCATCGAGTTCCCTTCTAGGGTCTGTTTAACAACCTGTAAAATGGAAATAACTATTCTACCCCCTCTTGAGAAGGGCATTAAAATATTCTGATTGTAGGAGTAAGGGACTGTTGTGTATCACTGTGGCCTCTGCACAGCTGCTTAACTTGTAAAGGAACTGTTTGTCCTAGCCCTGTCTCCCTGTTTCTATGTATTTTATTGCTAGAAGGGAGGAAAATAACCAAAAAACCTGTTGCATTAGGCCCTTGGAAAGCTGCTGAACCATAAAATGTGTACG